CAGGGTCTGTGGCCGGTTCTCATGCTCGTGGGATGGTTAGTTCACAGGGCATACGAAGGTCATGGCCGAGCAGCATCATCGCTGGCGTGTAACCGGTGGCCTCGTGAGCTGCTGTACGGTATGCGTACAAAAATAGGTGCACGATGCTGTCCCAGTCATCTTGACGATCATTTACAAATGTCGACAAATGTTGTAAGATGGTTCGGTTCATTCTTTCTACCAAGCCGTTTGACTGCGGGTGGAGAGGTGTGGTCCTCGTTTTGGCGATGTTGAATATCTTGCAAACTTCTTTAAATACGTGAGATTCAAAGCTCCGACCTTGATCCGAGTGAATGCTCAGGGGCGCCCCGTACCTGGTGATCCAATTCCTCACCAGGGCGTCAGCAATTTCAGGGGCGGTCTGGTTTGGAATTGGAATAACCTCCGGCCACTTTGTAAAGTAGTCAACAATGACTAGCGAAAACCTGTTACCAGATTTAGATCGGGGAAGTGGGCCTAGCACGTCAATGCCAACGCGCTCAAAAGGCGCCCCCGTCACATGCTCTTGAAGCGGTGCTCGCTGTGTGGCGTGAGGTCCTTTACGGGAGGCGCACATGTCACACTGTCGACACCACTGCTTCACGTCACTGTGGCACTGCAGCCAGTTGAAACGTTGGCGAATCTTCTTTATCGTGCGATTCACGCCGAAGTGTCCTCCTTCTGGACTGCTGTGCAGTTGTTGAAATGCGTGGGAGCAGAGTGTGTGTGGCAGAACCAGTTGCCAGACGACAGAGCCACCCGCAGCGGACTCCCAGCGTCGACAGAGAACGTTGTCGCGAAGGTACAAAGAGTCCCATTGCACCAAGTAGCCCTTAAGGGTAGGAGATAAGCTGGATACCTCCTTGCCTTGAGGTTGTCTATTCTTCGTTTTCCATTGTATGAGCAGGCCGATGTCTGGATCGTCAAGTTGAGCTGCCCGAAGACTTTCCGGTGTCCACATTTCGTTGCCACAAGGAATTGTTTTGAGTGAGATGCAGCTGCGTTTTTCAATGCTTGTGCACTGCTTGCACGACTTCTCACCGCATGGTCGACGCGAAAGGCCGTCGGCATTGGTGTGGAGTGAGCCGGGGCGATGCTGTATGTCGAAGTTGTATTGGTGAAGGCGTTCCAGCCATCGGGCGACCTGTCCATCAGGGGTTTTAAAACTCAACATCCAAGTCAATGATGCGTGGTCGGTTCGGATAATGAATTTCCGTCCCAGAAGATAATGATGGAAATGGGTTATGGCATTGATGATGGCCAAAAGTTCGCGTCGGGTGGTGCAGTAGTTGCGTTCTGGCTTCGTAAAAACCTTACTATAATACGCAATGACTCGCTCATGTCCATCTTGTTCTTGCGATAGTACAGCACCGGCTGCCGAGGCGCTAGCGTCGGTGTCAAGGATGAATGGTGTTGTGTCTTTTGGGAAGGCAAGAGTTGGTGGAGATGTGAGGGCCGTTTTGAGTGTCTCGAAGGCCAGTTGGCATTCTAGGGACCACACAAACGGAGCTTTCTTTTCTGTCAGGATATACAAGGGCTTGGTGATGTGGGCGAAACTAGGGACGAATCTTCGGTAGTAGGATGCCAGCTCAATGAAGCATTGAACGTCAGCGGTGGATCTTGGGGTTGGCCACTCGGCAATAGCAGAGAGTTTCCGAGGATCTGTGGAAACTCCGTCCGTCGAAATGATGTGCCCGAGGTACTCAACCTGCTTTGTGCACAGCGAACATTTCTTTGGAGTAAGCTTTAGGTTTGCCTTTTGAAGTCGTGCAAGCACAAGCTCGAGATTCGCCAGGTGATCGGAAAATGTCTTGCCCAATACCACAATGTCGTCGAGGTATACAAGACAAGCTGTGCCTATGAGACCATGCAGCACAGATTCCATTAGTCTCTGGAATGTAGCCGGGGCGTTGCAGAGCCCGAATGGCATCACTCGGAATTGAAATGAGCCATCACCTGTAGTGAAGGCAGTCTTTTCTCGGTCATCCGGGTGTACGGGAACCTGCCAATATCCACTCTTAAGGTCAAGCGTAGAAAACCACTCGCTGCCTGCGAGAGCGCCCAAGATATCGTCAGTTCGAGGCAAAGGAAAGGAGTCCTTTTTGGTGACATCATTAAGTCGTCGATAATCCACGCAAAAACGTGCTGACCCGTCCTTTTTCTTCACCAGTGTGACTGGTGAAGACCAAGGGGAACACGCGGGTTCAATCACGCCCTGCTGTAGCATGGTCTTTATCATGTCGTTAACAGATGACTGCAGTGCAAGGGGAACTCGTCGAGGAGACTGTCGAACAGCGGTAGCCTGTCCCGTCACGATGTGGTGTGTTGCTGCTGATGACAAGCCCATATCACTGTCTCCCGTGCTGAAAAGCTTTGTGAATCTTTTAAGTAGCTGATGAAGCTTACCCGCGCAGGTTTTATCGAGGCCAACAGTCGCGCCCTCGTAGAGAGGTAACACGTGTGGGTCCAGCTTGGTTGGTAATACGTGGGGACACGGACACGGGAACTCGGCATTTATTGGGAGTCCACTGTCGCAAAGAACCGTCACTGTGGCAGCACCCAGGGGAAACGAGTCAGTTCCCAAGTGCAGCAATCCGGCATTGAAGTCAAGCACGCATTTGTGTGCTTTGAGAAAATCAACGCCAAGAATGCACTGCTCCTCGACAGCCGCGACGACAACGGGCAAAGCAGCTTGAAGGCTTCCCACGGTGAAAGGCACGGTAGTGTAGCCGAGTACAGCTACCGTCTCCCCTGTTGCGGTCTGTAGAGCATAGCCACCGGAGTTTGCTGGGACAACTCGGTTTGCTTTCACCAGAACTTCTGGCCGGATTACAGAGGTAGTTGCGCCGGTATCGACAAGTGCACGCACTGGTACCCCGTCTACGACGCCTTGGAGGTAGATGGAAGTCAAAGATGAAGCCAAGACGCGAGTTGACGTAATTCTTCTTGGAGCCATTGTCGTTGAGGTCCGGCTACCAGAGCCAAGGTCATGGTTTCGGCACTGCGACCGCGTGTGACCTTGCTGGTGGCAATTCCAGCAAATTGGAGCTGGAGGTGTTGGAGTCTTTATAGCTGGAGTTTGCGGTTGCATGAAGGACTCTACACGCGTGGATCGAGATGCCTGTCGGGCAGCCTGTACCTCGAAGGCACAAGTGTGTGCTACCCGCAGAGTCTTAGGGCGTGCGAGGCGAACCGGATCCTGTACCTCAACAGACGAGATGGCGTCGATAAATGCCATGGTAGCGACAGCCTCCACCGTGTCCTCTGGGCAGCCTGGGAACGCAAGACGTGCGAGGCGTTCAATGTCATCCGCGAGGTCGGAGATGGTCTCCAGCGCAGACTGACGACGGTTGCGAAGTTGTGCATGATGAAGGAACCGAAGCGGCCCTTCCCCAAAGCGCTCGTCCAATGCCGCGACCAAAGCTTGGTAGGATTGACGTTTTTCAGGTGCCAAATGATGCAATAGGGTCAACGCTGGTCCGGCGAGATGGGCGGCCAAGGCTTGAGCCTTTTGGGCCTCTGACCAATGGTTCGCGTCAGCGATGAGGTTGAATTGCGATATGTAGGAGGGCCAAGGAGCGGTACCGTTGTATGTGGATGGTTTCAGTCGCAGGCTCTGGTGCCCCAAGGGGGTTTGGGCTGGAGCGTCAACGACGCGGGGCTCCATGGGGTCAGGCAATCGGTCCTCTAGACGCTGGAGGCGTTGGGTGAGAGATTCTGTCAATTCCCGAAAGGAAGAGGTTGCGCTTTGCAGAAGCTGACTCTCCCGCCGTGCGTAGGAGGCTTCGGCATGCTGGAGGTGGTTGGTTATAAGGGCTACGAGTTGGGAAGCTGGTGGGTCCGAGACGGCCAGATTTCCGGCGCTGACACTTGCGGTGTGTTCACCTTGGGAAGTGAATTCCATGTTTCGGGGAAAACGTCGGCCGGAACGGAGCTCCACTTCTGACACCAAATGTAACGATTACCGCTTACAAGCTGTTCATTTAATGGACGTCCGCTTGCTTTGCTCGTAGGCTTTTAACTCTCGCGAGCACTCCGTGTTCTTCTCTTCGTTGTCTTCGTTTCCGCGACATCAGCTTCGCTACAATATATATATATATATATATATATATATATATATATAATTTATATTTGGATTTTAGCATTATTTTTTATGGCTTCAATATGACGGGCACATGTATAGGAAACATGAGATGCATAATATTCAATGCTATGTGTTTATATCATGCCATTCACAAAACTGTAACAAACACTACCCTACAGTAAAGCTACTAAATTTAGTAACACGGAAAAGAGATTAAATAACACGGTAATAACGTTCAAGCTCTCATGGGGTTCAAACATGTAAACAGAATTACTTCTTTTTTTATATTCTCTAGAAGTATTAGTTGATATAGCTGGAAAGTAGGATCATATCGCTCTAACTAATCTAAAACAAAATTATGCTGCATCATTTAATTACTCGTAATAATTCTGAAATGACAGCTCACAAGATGTCTGCCTAGTTATGCAAATTGTTTCTCTCAGGAGTGTAAATTTTGCGGACTGCACTCACCTTAGTATATATTAGTCTGAGTTGTTCCTCTAACAAAAAATTCCTTCGCAATGAAAGAAATTTTATCTGTCAAAAGCAGGTTTTCATGAGATCTCGCCCTTCCTTCATCGGCTCTGTATATCGGGCTTGCTTCGCCTTTCGTACTAGGTTGTCATTTTTTATTTACGAAGTTAGTTTAAACGCAAAGGCTACGAAAAGAGATTGCTAAAAACAAAATTCAAGGGCGTGTGTGGAGATAATGTTTTGCCTCCTCATCCTCAGTGCCACCCCCCCCCCCCCCACACATTCCTCGGCACGGAACTATGTACTACTATTACATCGGAAATTTTTACGCCCATATTTCTCTCAGTATAAAAAGTATGCAAGGCCGATGAGAAATAAGGAGTTCCTTCCTTCTAATGAAAGGCTCAACTTCACGTAGACTTACCGTGCGGCTTTCGAGATCTCAGGTTCCACGAGCCTCTTTGGGGATTCACGGAAACTGTAAAAATAAAAAAATAAAATATATTTGAGGTTCATTTGTTTTACTATATTATTATTTCTATTCTAGTATGCCGTGATGGTTTGCTAGGAAAACACTTATTTACCATGATCGAATAAAAATAAGCATTGAGGACTTTCACGATTTTCTCCTTGGCGTAAGAAACGTTCTGCGGAGTACCGGCGTCCTATAATCCCACGTCGACGCGGACTACGAGGGTAAAAAATACACGTTTTTTATCTTTTTCTATTTCTCTAATCCACACAGATATCAAGGATTACGTGTTTCTTTTACTCTTGTGGTGTTGGAGGTACAGTGACAAACTTAAGGAAACAGCACACGTGTCGATTTTTTTTTCTTTTTCTTACAACGTATTTTCTCGGTTGTTGACGGATTAAGCCTAGATCGGCACTCAAAACACATGAAAGGCTCAATACAAACAGTTTCCGGAAAGCTTGGTGACGCACCTCTCGATCTTGATTTTAGGAAGTAGTGCTGAATATGGCTTGCGATGTGCGTATTCTGAGGACTGCACTCCCTTTTATTATTTATTTATTTTACCTTGCAATGGACCGCTGCGGCAACACCTCCTAGAAACTAAGCCGTAGTGCTGATAGAGATGCCGTCATCAGCGATGGCTAACGCTGGTCACAGATTGGACGCGAGGATTGCGTCAACGTTCAGCTCAAACTTTACTCGAAGCCGGGCGCTGACGCCGCACTTGTATCCAATTTGTGTCCAGCGTTGACCTTCGCTGGTGGTGCAAACATGTCAGCACTGCGGCCTTGTCTTCAAGACGGTGTTCGCTGTGGGCGCTACGAGGCATTCCAAGTCAACCGGCACTGTGAACGAGTGATGCAAAGCTATCCAGAATTCGGATATCTATACTATCGAAAGTTTCTGTAAAACTACCGTTAGTGTCGAAAACTATGGAAAGTGGACAATTGGGAGTACTGTCGATAGTTGATTATCGATAGTACCATCGATAGTCGACCATTGATAGTACTATCGATAGTATACTATCGATGGTGCGATCGTTAGTACCATCTATAGTTGGCTCTTATCAGAGATGGGAAAGTTACTTTTCAAATGTAATTTAATTACATTACGAATTCGTTTTCTGAAAGCTGTAAAAATGTAATTAAATTACATTACAAATTACCAGACTAAAAGTGATGACATTAAATTACAATTACTTTACAAAAATAATGATATCACTATGACATTACTTTTCAATACTTTGAGGTCGTAATTCTTATTCATTATATTTACCGTACATGAACTAAAGCCCGCACCTTTCTGTTTACACCGCAACAACATTATGCGCCTCAAAATGAACTACACTGAAGGGTCGTTTTGCTGGTGCACACGACGTAACTGTGAAACATGATGAAAAGCGCATTTCTTAGATGTGATTAAGAAGCAAGTCGACTCACCGTTTCTGCTATTGACTCTAAGGTGAAGGTCCTTAGTCAAAGGATTATATGTTTACGTCTTCCTGATTCAAAGGATATTAAAGTCTGTGTTAGTATTTTAAGTTGGGCCACGTGAGCTCGTTCTGAAGAGTCGTCACGTGAAACGTTTGCTTTTCGCCTCGAACGCAATCTAACTCTATTCTCCCAAGAGCAGTAGTTGATATATTCCCGGTAATTCCTCTTAAGGAGTATTGTCTTGAAACACCCGAAGAGCTCAAATTATTTATTGCGCATTGTCACACAAGGGAGCTGCATATTCGCTAAGGCAGAACCGTCGCCAATTGAGGAAAGGGATGGCGCAAGATTCCTAAAATGTGTACTTTCCCAACAAAGGGGTGTCGATAGCTGCTTGTAGACTTATTCCAAAATAAACTTTCAAAGAAAAGTCAGCCAGGCATAGCGCGAGCGAAGCCAGTTAAGCTCCATTCCCGTCTTTCCCACTACCAAAAGCACCTTTACTTAAAACAGCCAAGGATATACACGAAATATTTTGGGGCCTTGACGAGGCATTGGGGATAACCTATTTATTACGGTTGTTTCTTGTTCACAATGGTAGAGGCTAATGGGTTGACCTTGCTTGACGAAGGAGCAAGATGGGGCGGGGCATCTCTTTGTCCGGTCCTCTTAAGTTTTAAAGTGTGTTGACCTCACTTGTGACGTGCCCCTCGCCTTGTAGCCTTCAGTACGTTCATTCCTGAGCTGAGAGTGCGGTGGAAGCTACGTGCTCGTTGGAACAGTCACACGTCTATCTTTCGTTACGTAACCACGCTCTCGTTCATACCCACGTGCAGAAAAAGGCACGGGACAGGTGATTAAAGGAAGCTGTTTGATTGGTTCTGGTTAACTTGCAGTTCCCACCGCACTGTCAGCTTAGATATGAGAGAAGCAGAGAATCGTCGTGATGACGTGACGTAGTGAATATGTGTGTCTTGGAGTTCGTGAGCCGCGGCCTTTTAGCAATGTCTGTACGCGAAACCATTTCTTTTTCGCCTTTTCAGCCCGCCTTTGCGCGTCTGTCGAGTACTTCGTATAAGGCATTGCACTCAGATGGCCGTCGTTTATTTGCTCTGATGTCTCACAAAATTTCTTCATGCAAAATAAAACATTTTAAAGCTCGCAGACGAATTTCTTTATTCTGGGACAAAAGTAATTTCAATAGTAAGGAGTAATTTTCTTGACAGTACTGCCTGAAAGTAATGTTTTACATTACATACTTATTTACCAGCCTAGAAAGTTAATTCATTGCATTACTCATTATCGCAAAAATAATTTAATTGCTGTAGTTTCATAGAAAAATGTCATTACTGCCTATCTCTGCTTTTTGTCGACTATCGATACTATCGAAATTTAGCTCTCAGAAAACTTTTGAGTGTTTATAAAGTGAAAACACAATCAAAAAGGAATGATGACGGACTTTTAGGGCAAACACGCGTGGTTCTAGGGAAAAAAAAACATGAAATTGAAAGGAAACGAAACAAAGAAGCATTTCAATTGCAATGTATTTAGCAGGTTTTCTAGAGATTTAAAGATTTCCTCAAGGAAAAAGCTGCACTATAATCCTTTATATAAAAAGACAGGACTAGAGGTTTGGTATCAAAAATTCAGTATTTATCGGTGCCTGGTTGAACAAATGTATAAACAGGACAAGCGTATGCACCTTAATGATCTTGAAGGTAGTTTGCCTAAAAATCCTAAAGAATTTTGGAGATACGCGAAACAACACCTTCGGGAAAAGTATTCGGACATTTGCCTTCGTGACGGTGCTGGGTACAAATCGTTACCAGCTGAAGTAGCAAATCGTTTTGCTGACTTTTTTAGCTCTTACTACTTGCCTCAGCAATCGAGTTATATTATCACCTTAGGTGTAGAACGTGGTGACTTTCTGACTTCTTTTGCTGTCGACATTGAAGATATAATCGAAGCAATAGATGAAATGAAACCGACATTTTTTACGGGTATTGACGGCATACCCACTTTTATCATCAAAGGTTGCTGTGCTATATTTTCCCCCGTTCTGTGTCATATTTTTAACTTATCACTTAAACAAGGACTTTTTCCTGAGCTCTGGAAGTTCGCCGTTGTTGTCCCTGTTTTAAAAGGAGGTGATTCTTGTTTAGCTAGTAATTATCGTCCGGTGTCATTATTATGTGGATTTGCGAAGGTTGTTGAGAAAGTAGTTCATAAGCGTGTTTATTTTTACCTGAACACGGCGATATCTGATGAACAACATGGTTTCTTAAAAGGTAGGTCTGTAGAGTCCAATTTGTGTTCGTTTTTAAGTTACACCGCACCAATAGTAACTAGTAGAGGTCAAGTTGACGCCTTCTACCTAGACATGTCTAAAGCATTTTACTGCGCTAGGCACGATTTATTGTTGAGCAAGCTGGCCTCACATGGCTTCAGCCCGCATTTGTGTAGATGGTTTCATAGCTACTTGTGTGATCGTCGCAATTCTGTTCGTGTCAATGGCATCTTTTCTGTACAGTTTATTTCAACGTCTGGCGTGCCGCAGGGCTCAATTCTTGGCCCGCTCTTGTTCCTGCTGTTTGTAAATGACATTGCTTATTGTGTCAGCAATGCCAACATCCTTCTATTTGCTGACGATGTTAAGTTATTTCTAAGTGTGAAGTCACTATCTGACTGCTCTCTTCTCCAAGCAGATCTAAGTCGTGTTTCGAGATGGTGTTTAGAAAACAGCTTGTTCCTTAACCCCTTGAAATCCAAATCAATGGTATTATCAACGAAGCGTGATGTTATTTGCTTTGAATATTACCTGGATGGCGTATTAGTTCCTTCTGTGTCCTTTATCAGGGACCTTGGAGTGTATATTGACAGCTCACTTTCTTTCAAGAATCATGTCTTCGCTACAGTAAATGCAGCGTTGAGAACGTTAGGAATGATTTCAAGAATTTGTTATCAATTTGCAACTCACCGTTGCTTGATGCTCTTATTTAAGTCTCTAGTTCGATCGCGACTGGAATTTGCGTCAGTCATTTGAAATTCATTGACCCTGTCGCAAGAGCTAGCTATTGAAAATGTGCAAAAACGAATGGTAAGAATTTTATATGACCGCTACATTAGAAGAAGATGTTTTTATCACTACGAAACTTTACTTCGTAAATTTTCGCTGCATAAATTGGCCTTGAGAAGCCAGTACAGAGATGTTTTATTCCTTCACAAAGCTGTTCATAGCAGGGTAAATTCGGCGGCTTTATTACAAACTATTGAGTTTCGTGTTCCCGCTTGCCCGAGTCGAAACATTTCAACTTTTTATCGAACTTGCATGTCCGCTGTAAACCCATTGTCAAGGTTACAAATTGCTTTTGATTCAAAGAAATTTAATCTCGACATCTTTTTATCCACCTAAGAGTTTATGTTAAATCTTCGTGACTGGATGTTTGTGAATTAATCAATAATCAAATTTTGCAATACGATAATGTTGCATGACTTTTATTGATACAACTTTTTTTTTTCCTGTATTTTTAGGTTTTACTCCATGTGTGTTTAGTGCACCACACTGTAAAA